AAATATTGGTCCAGATACAGAAATCTTAAATGTATCAAAGGCCTGAAGTAAATTGTTTGTTATGAAGTTAAACATATGCTATGTTTCAATTCACATTGATAAAAAATCTAATAATTCCTTGCTCTAACATTCTGACATACATGATGAGCTAGGTAGATAAGTCTTTGTCCTATCTCCCAATATAGCTTTATTGTATCCTTTTCATAGTTCTTTAAATATTCCATTGTAGTACATTTTAACCTTTACAAAATAAACTAATGTTTTCTCTTATTTTATTTATTTCAGTTATTCTGTAAGAATGTTAGTTATAATATTAAATACAATTTAATTTATGTCATTCCTTATACCAAACAAGATCAGAAGAAAAGCTAAAATAGAATTTAACCCAAAATATAAGGAATTCATATTTATTTTTTCCCTCTAATATTGTAAATTCTTGACAAAAGATTATTAATGTTATTATTAATGTCAAAATGTTCAACATCACTGGTCACTCGAGACATGTAGATGAAAACAACATTGAAATTCCACCTCACCCCCAGAATGAATGACTGTCATCAAGAAATCAACCAATAATAAATGCTGGTGGGTAGAAGGGAGGAAGGAACCCTTCTCCATTGTTGGTGGGAGTGCAGACTGGTGCAACCACTATGGAGATCAGTATAGAGATACCTTGAACAATCAGGATCAGAAGTCCCATTTGATCCAGCTATTCCCCTGCTGGATATCTACCCAAAACAATTGAAAGAATCATACCAAAGCCATATATGCTCCCATCTTTATAGTGGCACAGTTTGTAATAGCTAACACTTAGAAACTTCCCATCAACTGGAGACTAGATAAACAATCTATATATCTATATATCTATATATAGATATATGTTAACTTCAACAACATAGTTCTTTTAGGTTATTAAGGCTGTTCAATTATCACTGTTGATTGCTACCCTGAGTTGGAGAGTCTTCTGAAGTGTCAGAGTGAGAAAATTATACTGGTTCTCACAATTTTTTTTTAAGCAAAGCTTTGAAATTAATTCAATCAATAGCATTTGACAGCAAAATTTAAAAGCAACAATTGCATACTAAGACTTATAAAACCACCTTGTTCTCTTTTTTTTCATATTTGACTAACAGTATGACCAAGAAATTGGGAGACAATAGAAAGGTTATCATAGTACTTTATATGATGGTATGCTGTACAGAGTGGCTATAATGATGGACAAGATAGTCAGGGTGTCCAAGAGGTCTCAAGTTTGTATCCCTAGGGTTGACAAGTGCTCCAAGTTTTATACTGGGACACAGAGTGTGAAGAAACAAAACATTATACGTGACCCCTGGTGAGAAAATGAAAAATTTAGCAATCGAAGGATGAGATAGCTTAATCAGCTTGAGTAAAAACAGGGTGTCGTGAATGGAATAGTTAGAATCTGTAAAGAAATTCCAATGTTATAAAAACAAAATGTATGATGAAATCTTACAAGGAAAGGCTTGGTCAGGCTGCAAAGCAGAAATACTAAACAATAATACATAAGAATTTGAAAGTTTTTGTGTAACAAAACTGTAGTCTCTGAAGTTTTTGTTTGTTTGTTTGTTTGTTTGTTTGTTTTTTTTGTGTGTGTGTGGTTGGCTTTGGCTATATGTAGATAAAAGAGAATATTAAAACAATTCTGTTCACCGTATGAGTGTAAGGATCCGAGTTCAATCCCTGGTACCAAAAAACAAAATACAAAAAAAAAAAAGAAAAGAAAAGAAAAAAAATTGCTCAAATGAAATATCCAATCTGAAGATGATATCAAAGCTTTAATATGTTTTCAAAAATAAATAAATAAATACAGAAAGCAACTAGACTGTTCCATTTTTTGTTTTTATTTTGTTGTCAGAACATTTTTAGAATTAATGAATACTAATCTATTATCTACATACCTTTATTTATAAATACCAATTTTATTTTACTTCACCTCTTTGACTTAGAGTGTTTAATACACTGACTCCTACTGTTGATTGTATTGATTCCATTTTATTCAAGCCAACATTAAATTGACAGGAAAGGTAGAAATCAAAAGGCGATTGCTTTCAAATGAAAAAATAAAAGGATATTATTTTGGCGTAAGATGATAAAGTTAATCTTTGGCAGGTTGAGATCCAGTTTTTCCAACACCATTTATTAAAGAGCCTATCTTTCTTCCAGTGGGGATGGTCAGCTCCTTTGTCAAAGATGAGGTAGCTGAGTACATCTGGAGTTGTTTTTGTGTCTTCAGTCTATTCCACTGATCCTCAGGTCTGTTTCTTTGCCAGTACCATGCTGGTTTTATCACAGTGGTTTGTAGTATAGTTTCAAATTGGGAATTGTTATACCCACTGCCATGTGTCTGTTGTCTAGGATAGCTTTTGCTATTCTAGGTCTTTTATGGTTCCAAATGAATTTTTGGATTCTTTTTCTAGTTCTGTGAGATATAGTGTTGGAATTTCCATTGGCATTGCATTGAATCTGTACAGCAGTTTTGGTAGTATGGCCATTTTCACTATGTTGATTCTTCCTACTCAGGAGCAGGGGATATCTTTCTATTTTCTTATATCCTCTTCAATCTCTTTTTTCAGAGTGCTGTAGCTTTCAGTGTAGAGGTCTTTTGTTTCTTTTGTTAGGTTGATTCCTAGATACTTCATTTTTTTGGATGCTATTGTGAAAGGAATTATTTCCCTAATTTCTCTCTCAGTGAGTTTGTTATTTGTGTACAAGAAGGCTATTGATTTTTGGGTGTTGACCTTGTATCCTGCTACTCTGCTAAAAGTGTCAATTAATTCTAGAAGTCTTTGGTGGAGTTTTTTGGGTCTTCAGTGTAGAGTATCATATCATCAGCAAATAATGACAGTTTGATTTCTTCCTTTCCTATCTTTATTGCTTTAATATATTTCTCTTGTCTAATTTCTATGGCTAATGTTTCCAGAACTATATCAAAGAGGAGTGGTGATAGTGGGCATCCTTGTCTTGTTCCTGATTTTAACGTGAAGGTTTTCAGTTTTTGGCCATTTAATATGATGTTGGCTGTTGGTTTTTCATAGATAGGCTTTATTAAGTTGAGATATAGACCATCTATTCCAATTTTTAATGAATGTAACTGTACTGTATACCTAGAATATACCAATAAACTCAATAAAAAAGAAAAAAAAGAAATAATTATAGTCACCACAAAAACAACTATAAGGAGAATTTGCATGAGTTTTGGGCAAACAACTAACCAGACTTGAAATCAAGACTGCTTTCAAGATACCAGAACAGTACTTTGGGTCTATGAATCTGGATATAGAAATGATGCATTTTTATGATAATTTATATGATAAAAGTCCTCCTGATAAAATAACATACAGTGTCCAAATGCTTTATTCTTAAATTTAAAAGCTGGTTGTTTTAGATAAAGGCAAGGAGGGCAACTGAACTAATAAAGCTTTACTCTGGGAAAAAAATGATAAGGTTAATTAATGGAAGGGTAGATAAAAACACAAAAAAGATAAAAAAGCAAATATAGCAAAGTGTAAACTGAACAATAAAGGAGTGGAGATATAGCTGTTTACTATAAAAATCTTTCAGCTTGTCTGTTTATTTGAGATTTTTCATAAAACATTTGAAATAGAGTGCAACAATCCCAGAAGGACGTCTAGAAATTTCAACGCCTAAATTAATGTCAGGATATTGTCAGTGTATAGCACCAAATTAAAAAAAACAAGTCACAGTAAGCAAAGCCAGGCATTAAAAAGAGCCAAATTTGGTTTTTAGGTAGAGGATAGAACGACAGAGAAGAGCTATAGTAATGCAAGTGTCCATTTATGTGGAAATATGTCATTAGGTTTCTACCATTACATTGACATTATGTTTTATCCATATTGAAGTGTCCTTGTCAGATAAGTGTCACCACAGTCCCAGGTCCACTTAATCAGAGCACATCCTAACAAGGGCCAAAGACCTAAATTAGGTTTAGTGAGGGTTTTTTTTTTTTCTTTTTCCTTTGATCTAAAACACAAGTATAGCAGCAACATATATTTAGTTACTTGACTAAAACATCAAGATTATGTAACCCAACCAAAAAAGTAAGACAATCATTTAATATGTAGTCATGAAAAAAATTTTTGTAGTTTTTAATTGATGATCTCTACCATTATAAATATCTTTTCTGTCTTAAAGTCAATTTAGAATTTTTAATGTCTTTTTAAAAGTCCTTATTGTTGTAGAATTGATTAATTTGGAAGTACCACATTTCTTATTAAGGGCAAATAGTCCTTTTTTTTCAGTTGATTAGTAACTCCTCCAAATTCCTGCAAGGATTTCCAGCTTACAAATTCAACACTGGTCCATTCTGCGTGAATTTTCCAGGACTGTACAGTCACAGATGCCTGGGGATGTTACCCTCTTGGTCCCTTTACTTTGAAACAGGCCTGGATCTCAGAAATTTCAGACAAGTTGATACTGATCCTTTCAAAAAAGATATGCACAAAGGAAGCCTATTTGCCAACCTCCTTGAGAAAAAAGGTCAAGTAACCAGTTGGAAACTTTTCTAAAGGTGTCACATTAAACTTTAATAATACCTACACTTTTATGGGGCTTTTAACTTTGCAAATTGCTTCCACATGCATTATCTCATTCCATGTTCCACTGCGATGAAACTGTGTCTGTTTTAGGGCTGAATTATAATAGCATCAATATCAAAATGTTGACAGGGACATTTCAAAAATTGATTATTACTTGGCTGAGCAGAAGTACTCAACAGGAACAAGCTGGCTTCCAGATGAATTAAAAAGGGTTAAAATTCTGAAATTAAGATCTTGAGAATTTCTACTGTGTGAGGTTCATCGGAGCCATTTTACCTGTTGAGTTTTTCTTGTGTGTGTGTGTGTGTGTGTGTGTGTGTGTGTGTGTGTGTTTAATGGAGAAAAGGACTTCTTTTGTCCTCTCTTTTGTTATTCTGATTTCTGATTTCCGTGTTCTTTTTCTTTCCAATTTTCCTGCAGGTGAGCCCCACCCCCGGGTGTATCCGTGCACTCATGAAGATGCTGTACTGCCCGTACTGTCGAGCACTGCCCACCGTGAGGCCCTGCAGCAACTACTGCCTCAATGTCATGAAGGGCTGCTTGGCCAATCAGGCGGATCTGGACACCGAGTGGAACCTGTTTATAGGTAAGGGCCATTTAAGCAGACCCGAGATTGGACAGCTGAGAGCCGCACGTGCCTGTGATGTTTAACGTGCAGGTCAGAAGGTAGGATGACTTGTGTGGACTTCAAACAGCTTTTGGCAAATTATAAACACAATTTGACATTTTTCTTCCTTTTGTCCTGAACAAGAAGAAACACTTTATTGCATATTACCAAGGATGGTTCTGTTAAAGATACACAAGCTAGCTATGTCCAGTGAGTGGGTCTCTCCAGAGAGAATGATAAAAGTTCCTGTGAGAAGGGATAAGTTAGAAAAGAATCTTGTCAAAGAATGTTTACAGTACACATTTTGGGTTGTATTACCTTAATATAGTCACAGGTTTTAGAAAATAATTTTTCCCTAAAATTCTAACATGAAAATAGCTTAATATTTTGGATGAAGCAAGTAAATTTTCTATCTCACTTTGGGGGAAAAGAGGCTTTAGGCACACAAGCCTGAAATAGCCTTCCTGTCTTCAAAAGATAGGAGTTAAAAAAAAATGGAAACAAAGTCTTTGTAAATAGGTAGGCGTGAAGGGGTTGAAGGGAGGGAAGGGAATTGGGGAAAAAAATAAGAACCAAAAAAAAAAAAATATATATATATATATAAAGGCACAAACTCCCAGTGATGAATGTCAACATATTGTGTAGCTAAAATGTACAAATAAACTTAATGAAAAAAAAGATAAGAGGAAAGAAGGGAGAAGTGGGGAAAATGCTGTGATTCATGCTTCTGTTCTCAGGCTGCAAAAAATCATTCAGAAGGTTTCATTGCCCACAGAAATTTTTTGAATCGCTATCCAAGGATAAAAGGACAAATTTTATAGGGAGGCTTCTCCCAGGAAAACTCATGGCCCTTGAAAGAGTAGATGTGTTTTCTTCCCCTCTGTCAAATGGCCTTCAAATAAAAGTACTTTCAATTGCATTTATTGCAATTACAGTGACAAGCTAGAGAGGTGAAAATAGCAGTGGCATTTGTCAGCCTCAGAGGGCCCGCATCGTTTATGCCAACCTCTAACAGAAGACACAGGAAAGTCTACTGACATCTAAGATACAGACAGGACAGGAGAAAGATCTAACCATGTTAGAGGTCAGAAAACTCTAAGCTTACTGAACAAAGATGTGCTAAGGTTGCAGGCCCTTTACTTTGGCCTAACTCACTGGTTAACTCCTACATTTTGTTTAAGAAGACTGGAGAAACGGGTTTGAAGTTCATTTTTTAAAGAAATTTGTAGAGTAGGTAGATTAAATTGGAAGTCGTGCAACAAATTCTCAGGATCATTTCAGAGAGAATAAATTGTAACGCCATTCTCCGGCCCTTGGATAGGAGTACAAAATCTGTTTGTGAGATCTCAGGTTACTTTATTTGAAAACTAAGGGAGTTTGAAAACAAAAAAGTTCTTAAGACATTATTCTAACTCAAAAAGGACATGATTCTTTTCTAACCTTCTTGTTTGCTAAGATTTTGGAGAAAGATACAAATAAAAAATAAGAATAAACTTGTTTTTCTAGAATATGATTTAGATTCCTTGTGGGAAAGTAAAGATACCCAAATACTGCTAATGAAAATGTAATCCCATCAAGAAGTCTAAAATGATTTGTATATTTTTAAACTAGATTAAGCTCTGGAGTCATATGGATCACTTATACTTTTTGGCTGAAATTGCTGTAATTCCTAGCATTGTCTTTTATTAGCCTGAAATTTATTGATAAAAATGGTCATGTGAATCTTGTTAAATAGAGCAGGAAATGACTAAAAATGAAAATGTTTTTTTTCTTCATTTATAAAACCAGCAGTGATTTCTTATTGGCTTTCTTTGGTCATTGGTTATTTTAACATGAAACAATACTTTCAGTCAGGTGGTTTTCCTAAAAGCTCATTTGATGTGAAATTGAATAGCTAAAAAAAATTGTATGTTTTACAAAATCCTAATTTGAACCTCCCATGTGTTGGTCAGACTTTAATAAAAGGTGGAACTTGTTATTTGTCCAACATGAATCCATTTCAAGACCATTCTTCCTCCCTGTCTAAATTTTTCCCGCTGTCTTTCTCCTGGTCTTGCTAAGGAAGGCATTAAGAATTGACCACCAGCACAGACTTAGACAGAAACTATATACATGCTAATAGTTATTTGTGTGTGGTGGGTTACTTCAAATATTTATTACTTAAATTCCCTACAAGTGCCTGCTCATTTTCCACACAAATGCATCCAAGATGAGAGTAGGGCAATTTTCAGGAATGCCATGGCAAAAATTAATGTGCAAATTGTTAATCTCTCAAAAAGTATATGTACCAACCCCTCTCTGGTTAGCACCGACAACCCATCGCTCCCAGATCCCAGGATCTCATCAAGAGACCCTTTGCTTCTGTTGGTATCACCTGCATTTGCCATCTTTGCCTGCTGCTATGTAACATCTTAGTTTGTACATTCTGTGGATTTTTTCTTTAATTATTATATGTTCATCTACGTTATTATATGTTCGTCTGAATGTAGACAGTGGCACACAATCAACTCACAATACAAATAACAGTCAAGTTGGCAGCAAATTTTTTCATGATCTTTACAATGCTGAGAATTAATTGAAAGCAATTAATAACTTTAGATTTTGGGTAGTGTCTGGATGGTGTCAAAGGAAAGGCAGCTCACGGATAAGGTGAAAGTTGTCAAGTATTCCACTAAAAACCTCCGTGCATTTCACTTGCTTCCGAAACTCTGTAGGTTGGTTTTCATTTAATCTTAGGAAAAGAATACCAGCAGTCTCTTCTGAGTGCATTTCTCAGTCCTCCTCCAGCAAGTTTAACTCTGAGCCTAGCGCAGAGGCAGAGCTCAAAAGCTCCTTATCAAGTAACTTGTGTAAAAAAATGAAGAGCTGTGCCATTTTTATTTGAAAAGTTGATGACAACTTTGAGGAATATGCCACTAGTTCCATTTTAAAGTGCTTTAAAAGCCTCAGTTCACCTCTAGCAGATGCCTGCGTGTGCCCTCAGGGAGCCTGTGGGATTCCACAGCACAAAACACAGCGCGCCTCACAGCCGCCCTCCACGGGTCATAGCTGCCCGCGTGAATGGTAGTCACGAGCCCCGGAGCCGGTCAGCCTGGGAAGGAACAGGAGATTTTTGTCCTGTTCTCACTGCCAGGGACTACGTAGCAGGAAAAATCCCTAACCTGAGATTTTGACAGTCTGGACTTAAACATTTATCCCAGGTGTTGCTGTATAACCCTGCACAACTTCTCCCACCAAGCTTCTGAATGTTGCCTAAATGCAAAATGGTTTTCTTGAAAAATATTTACATTAAATTAAGATTTCCCAGAGGAAAACAGTTTGTGGGCAGAACTCATTTTCGTGATATCCTGTGGTTATTTTGAGTGCTTGGCGTTGATGCCAGCGCTTCACAGATAAGAATTCTATTTGTGACAAGAGGCCACGTTGCAGATCACATCCAGCTGAGATTATATCTAGCTCAGGAACACAAAAGTCAAGGCTGAAATTACACTTATGGCTAGAATAAATCTTGCCTATACTTTAAAGTCAAGGATATATGGGACAACCTCCTCCAAACATCTGGTACCATCTAAGATTTTTATAAATTATGAGAACCAGAGAGAGTATTTTGAAAGAGGTTGCTGGTATGGTAAGACAAAGGCTGGTAAGACAAAAGGCAAGGATTCTATTTCTCTATTTGTATCACTAAATAGGTATAGACAGCTAATTACGGCAAATATAAACATAAGGCTTTAAGGCATGTCTCAATTATGTAGCCTTTTGAGGCAATCCTGGCTAGTAAGGAACTAATAATCTTAGCACATTAATTCAACTTACTATAATGAATAATCCAGACTTTTTTGGCCCTCAGCGAATTTAATATAGTTAAATGAATTATAATGAATTCTGATAAAGTGTTAGGAGAATACATGTCCAGGATGATAGATATTTACTTAGCAAGTGGATTTAACCCGGTCTAGGGGCTCCGGGGAAAGTATAGGATAAAGTACTAAATATAATTGTATCAAATTAGCATTGTCAAACATAACTGATTTTGAATAGTGACAACACAAATACTTTATATAATATAGCCCCCCTGATATTTCCAAGTCCTGTGACCATTTTAATAAGTCTAGCAAAATGTCACTGTTTTTTAAAAAATGCTCATTGTTTTTCCTGTGAATATTTTCTATGATAAACTCTTACTATCATTGCCCCTGATTTGAATGGAGAGATTTGGAAAATTTCTGTAATTTAATCAAGTAGAGTTTGAGTTCCCTGATTGACCGAATGCTCTGCAGTAGAGGGAAAGCCAGCAGGGTGGTCTTCATGCAGACCCTGGGCACTCAAAGACTAAACACACTAAGGGTATCACATTTTTCTGGGCTTTCTTTTTTTTTTTTCAAACTGACCAACTCTGAAATTTCAAGAGTGTCCAAGATAAAGATACACAGTATATTAACTGTTGTCATTCCCTTATTGTTTTGCTATGAATTTTTTTTTCATAAAAATCCTACCAGCTATAAGTTGGAACATCCCCCATCCTGAATTCTGAAACCTGAAATGTTCCAGAATCTGCAACTTTTGAGTGTTAAGACAATGCCCCAGGTAGAAAATTCTATTCCCGACCTCAAAGCGGAATCAGCCAAAACACAGAAGCACAACACAGTTTAATCAGTATCCCCTAGAGAAAAAAGACCACTAGAGTTCCTTCAGAGGTCATTAAATGTTTTCATACACACAGTTATTTAAAATGTTGCATTTAAAAAGTTAGTCCAAAGGCAGAAAACTGGTGAGAGTCTATCAAACATGAAACCCAATGGGGCACTTTTTCTACCCAGGTCAAGAGATCCAACGGGGAATACTGTCCATTCATGCCTTCATTTGTTTATTAATCCAGCACCTTTGTGAACCTTGCTTTGGTTTTACATGGTGCTTGAGCAGAGAATAGAGAAGACCTCTGCTTGATGAAAATAATATTCAATGTATTTCCTTGGAAT